GCCCAACCTCACGCCCAGCACGACTTCCTGATCGGAGTAGGATGTGGGCATGGAAGTGCAAAAAGGGGTGTGCCAAGGATTTTTGGGAAAGTGGGGGTGGAGTCCCAGGTCAGAACTGAGATCTCATGTGGCAGGGTTTCAGGGGCACGGGTGCAATATGGTTGAGGGCGAGTTGCTCCCGGTCTGCGGGCGTTCTATGTCGAGCAGCATAAGGCAGATGGCCGTGCATTCAGGGCTGTCCGATTCGTCTGTTTTGGAGGCGGTGGGTCGGGAAGGGGTCTGCCTGGAATGGCTGTGATTCTGATAAGTCGGGCCTCTGGTGGCAGCCACATGGCGTCCGTCGTCGCGCGTTTGGGTTAGGCCTCCTGTTGTCGGGGGCTCGTTGGTTGCCGCGTCGCCAACAATTTTCACAGGGCGTGCGGGGCCAGTACTCGGCGATGGAATTCCACGGGACAACGGTGAGTTGGTGATACGGGAGAAGGAGGCGGAAGGGAGGGAAGTTGGTAGCGATAACGACGAAGCCGGGGGATATGAAGTAGTGCGAGTTATCCGAAGTGGGAAAATCGGGACATCTCGGATCGCTGGTCGTAGCACAATGAAACTCCCTAGGGCACAATCGATTCTTGGTTAGGCAGGGGAATTCCGGGCGTCTCCATCTGAGACACTCGCTTACCCAAGGGTTGAAATACTGCGGATCCCACGACGAGTCTGAGTCCCTCGAGTACGTCATCTTGTCATCGCGGCCTGATGGAATCCTCCTGCACGCGTCTAATCGGCAGGGGGAATTTTCGATGCGATATCGGAAATTCCTATCCGTTTAGGTGCGTAGGGGAAGGAAAATTCTCGCCTGCCCGATGTCAAAGGTGTCAAGTTCATCAATGGTTGTGAATCGGCGCGCGTGGACACGTTGTCGAGCGCATCGGTCCGGCACCGCACCAGGGCAGCGCGGGACCCTTCCGGCCACGTCACGCAGGAGTTGGTTTAAATCCTTCGTCGCGAATATACATGGAGCTTCCGCAAGCCGCTTCGGCCCAGTGCGTCAGCCATACCTTCCGCGAGCCCCTACGACAGGATAGGGCCTACGCGAGGCACGACTTACCTCCACCTTACGGGAACTGTCACCTCCCTTCGGTGGGCGTATCCCCGCCGAGCTACCAGTCCACAGTACGAAAGTTAATCAGTTGCAATCGCAGAGGTGGACCAGCCGAGGGCGTTTCTCGTTCGTTGTAGCATAGGGGGTACCCGCGGTAATACGCTTCTATCGGACCCGCACACGAACCGACATCTTGGGGGGCCAGGGTCCCAAGCGTGATTTGTCGTCGGTCGACTAGGACGCATCCTACACACCACGCGCACACCACTTTACAAACACAAAAATAAAACACGCACACACACACATCGAACAACGGGACAACACTCCTAGTCCCTTCAGCAGTCATCCCATATCTTTTCGATGCGGAAATCAGATGGGCGTCATACGCGAGACTTTGTATAAAAACCGTGCGGACGCAGGGCTAATTCATACTGATTCGCAATGCAAGCGTACGCAAGCAGTCACAATGATGGCGTACTATGTAGTGCCCATGATCAAGCGGTCCCCCGTGGATCCAAGTACCGCCTATGACACTCAAGTGTCAGACTCAAAGCATCGTGAGGGTCTAATCCCTGCACGGCTGAAGAAATAGTCGTGCAGCCGCCGCGAGACCTCCGGCCTTTGGTCTGATTGTCTCGGTAGGCAAGGCAAATAGGCTCTGCACGGGGGCAGATTCCTTCGCTGAAGAGTCAAGGGCTTGGGATGTCCTAGACAAGGACCTTGAATCCCGACCCAGGACCAGCGTCCGACTATAAAAAATCCCTAAAAAGCAAAAGGATAAAAAGGGATCTCCCTTTTCTCTCAAGCCATAATTCAGTTAACCCTTGCGCGCGATTCCAGTAAGCTGCGCGCATACCCAAGTCACATATAAATATATACATAAGGTCTATTTATATAGGACGATCACTTCTCACAGTCACAGTGGGAATCCTCTCAACCATATATATATGTAATCGAAGGCAGTCACATCCAGAGTCCGAACCACAACCATACCTGCAATCACATCAAAGATTCAACAAAAGTCCACGCACTACACGGGGTCAACTTCAACCATTCTCTATGCTCATACCCCTCGCTTTAGCCATACAAACCTCACTTTTGTGCAACTCCCCAAAATAAATACTCAGTACTTCTGTTAAATGGCCATTCAATAAAGTCTGGGTGAAAACACAATGAAACAATTCAAACCACAGGGCTAAAGCCTTTAGGTTGAGTAGCAAGAGTGGATTGGAGTTGAATCGTTAACCGACGAATCAGCAACCAATCTGTTATCCGTGATAACAGAAGATGATTATCGTAGGATCAAGCTGAAACTAGCCAAATCCTGAACCAACGGTCAAGAGGACCTGTAACATATGAGAGGCCAATCCCGAAGCTAAAATCATAAGTGTATGAAGAATACAACTTCATACCACGATCTCACTCAAACCATCATAGTTAACTAAGCATGAGTCTACCGCTAAGCAGTACCCGAAGCAAAGGATAAACCCTGACATAATCTCCCCTATACAGGGTGGATTGTCGGAATCACCACCTGTCAAAATATAGTCTAGCTCCTTTAAACTAAGAAAATTTCGGCAGCGCTTCCCGTAGGAAAAATACCTTTCCAAAATTTGTATCAGCCCGCATATGAAAACAGAAATAGTCGTTGACTTTCGAAAGTCCAATTTTGTCTAACTCCCTGAATTAGTGAAAATTTGGGCAGCACTCCCTTTAGAAAATGCGTCTTCTTCGATTTTTACCAAGCCATATATGAACTTTAGACAAGTTGAACTTTGAAAAACCAAGAATTGATTTTTACCAAGCCATATATGAACTTTAGACAAGTTGAACTTTGAAAAACCAAGAATTGACTAACTCCCTGGATTTGTAGAAATTATGGCAGCGCTCTCCGTAGAGAAAGTAGTTTACCAAAATTTATATAAAGCCAAGTATAACAAAAGATCCCAGAAAATACGAGAATTGATCTAAGTAAAAAACTTAGCTCAGAAAATGCAGGAATCGAAACTAACTCCTATGACTATAATACGTGGCGAGCGACTAAAGCAACTACCTATCAAACTAAAACTCAGACCAAGTAGTAGCCTCACTCAGTCGCATGCAGGCCAACCCACAAAGGTAATTACTGTCACCATCCCCAAGTCAACCTAGCAGACAATAGTTCATAATCTTTCGATGCTTTAACCCTTTATACCCTGCTTACATAAGGCGTAAAGTCAGGCCATCCAATCTTATGGAACATGCTTGACTCAGCCATTAAGTATACACGAACAAGTTGCACAACAACTTTTTTCTTCCTTTGGGCATATGACTAAGCCATTCATCTTAGAAACAATGCTTAGCCTCCCTGAACCGCTTAATATCCAAGTTATATATACCTCTCTGAATTTAGTGTTGAAAAATTGGGCGTAGGACTGAGTCATTCATCTTAGAAATAAAACTCATCCTGCCCAAAGTTACCTTCAATTATATTCTTAGTTATAATCTCTTCAACTTTATGATAAACTATAGTCAGGTCACCCAATCTTATGGGACCCTGTCCGACCAGCTTGTTCTTAAGTAAGATAATAATAAAATATAGCCAAATTATAACCTTTAGGGTTCCAACATGATGTGCGAGGCACTGGGCCAGACCATCCAATCTTATGGAACATGTCTGGTCCTTTGCCAAATTCATTCCTCTCTGATCCATCTGTGTGCGGCATGAGTCCAAAGCCATCCAATCTTATGGAACATGCTTTGTTCTCAGCAGAAATTACTCCCTCAGAATAAACAAACAAAAGAGTTGAGCTATTCATCTTAGAAACAAAGTTCAACTCTCTTTTCTCAGCCTTAAAAAAAAAGGTAGAGTACTTTGGGCTTAGACCCAGAGACTGCTCAGAAACCACTCAAAATAAACAGCGACCATACCATTTATCTTAGAAACAATGTCTGGTCCTTAAAACTTAAGCAATCAATACCCCTCAAAGTAAGTAGTCAGACCATTCATCTAAGAAACAATGCCTGACACAATTAAATAAACACAGCAACCAAGTCATTCGTCTAAGAAACAATGCTTGGTCCTTCTAAAAACAGAACAAAACACAGCAGTCAGGTCATCCAATCTTATGGAACCATGTCTGACTTTATAAGACCCTCCCAATCTCAAGCAAAACCACCTTTCTCCCAACCTTCCCCCTGATGCAATCCCTTATTACAATTTGCTTTCAGACAATCAAGAAAACTGAAACTGCCATCGCACACGCATTCCTTTACTTAGTATGACTTATGTCCTCAAAGTCAAACTAAAGTCAAAGTAGGGATACATGTCGTATACTCAGTCAAGACACAACAGGAAATACAGATAGAGGCTATAATCTAGGTTTATAGCGGGAAAACAATGGTTACCTCTCAGTTTCCTGCCTCCAGAACTCTTCCTGAGTTCCGGCAAAGCTCCCGCAATCGGTGGGGTAACCTTCCACGTAGGCCTTGCCGCGGTCCTACGGGTTGCAATCCCGCCTGCCGCCTTCCCCTCAGATCAGAACTAGACTTAGATTTAGAAGGGCAGACAGAGAAAATTTTAGTCGCTCAGATACAAGAAGGGTGTTCTTAGACTCGTGTGAGAGGGCCTTGTTATCTTCGAGCGCCTAAGGGCCCTGCAATGATGGCTAGGTAACAACAGCTTGGTCAAACTTCAATCATACTGTCGACGCCAACTCCCTGGCGACCTCTCAACTTGCAGCACCACCCCTCCTTGCAGTTCAACCACTCTCCCTGCACTATGCTTGCGCCCCCAGCCAGCGCCCAACAACAGCAACAGTAATCAATCTCCGCAGTAGCAGCCTCCTTTCTCCAGCCCTCTCGCTGCAGTCGATCGCTACTTCACATAGGGGGACAGACAACACACCCCAACCAATCGCTGCTTTTATTAGTTCGTCAAACTTTACTCCATAGTTACTGGCTGAGCAGGTAGCGCACGGCTGGTAGGTAGGAGCATGCACTGCTACTTCGCCGCCCCCTTCAAGTTCCCGCGCGCACACACCGATCCGCAGGTAAGTCCCCAACACCGCGGTCTGTCCAGAGTCCCAGCTTACAGCAACAACAGCCAGTAAGCACCAACAACAGATTTCAGGCATATGAGGATTCCGGCTCCTGCAGGCTGTCCCTACCACCAGGTACGTGCGCTCACTACTCCAACTGATGGGACGGGCGACACACCTGCACCCCGGCCAGCAGCAGAGCACAGACAAGAACACCCGGACATCCCACTCCCGTCAGAATCGGGCCACACTGCTGGCTCCCACTACCCGCTTGGCAGGGAGTCACTCCGCCTCGCATGCGTCATCCCCTGCCGGCAACACAAACATCCCGAACCGAGTGGCCCCCACCTCGATGTGCCCGGCCCGGTGGGCGGCAACCTCTGACTTCTTCTTCTCTCTTTGCGCAGTGCGGCTGGTCTCACACCACTTCCACCGATAGGATGAGCAGGTCAGACGGATCCTCCGCTAGTGCGTGCTCGTAAGCAGTACGAGGTAAGTGCCCTGACCCCGCGAGGAGATGTACCCTTCAACTTCGAACTGACTCTCTCCTTTACACAGACTGATGGCTGTCTCTTATACACATCTAGATGTGTATAAGAGACAGGTATCTTTCTTCTACACCTTTCCTCGCTCGTGCTTTCCATTGCACACACACACATTACCTAATGACAGCGTGGAAGAGTTCTTGGAAGTCCCCACCGATGTCTTCGTTCACTCTAATTGCTAGCTCCTTCTTGTACTTGGCCGCGAAAGCTGTTTTGATCCTCTCCAGGTCAATGTCTGCTCGAGCAATGATGCACCGAATGAGTGCTGCCTCATCGGTGCCGAGTCCTTCAACCGCCTGCGAAATCCTATCCGCAAAGTAGTGAGTGGGATCCAAGATACCTCGAACCAGGACGATTAACGTTGCCTGCAAATGTCCACCGAATTCTGCCTTGATGATGTCGATGATGGACTTATGGAACTTAGTCAAGTACGACGAGAAGACCTCGCGAAGCATCGGTGCGCTCTCTCGGGTCAAGATGTCGATGAACTTCGACTCGTCCGTCCCCCACTTCCCTTCCCCAGCATCATAAAGTTCCTGTGCAAGTGCGCTCGCTCTCTCTCTGTTGGCGTTTCCCGTCTCGCGCGTGACGGTCAGCAGCGCAGCAAGCAACTTGCGAAGATACCCGCTCGTTTCCCCCTCAATGTCACCCACCAGGTCCTTGTTATACAACTGTTTGTATCCCTCACTGATGACCTTGAGCTGCGCTGACGTCCGAGTGCAGACGATCTCCGCAATCGTTGCTTCATCAGTGCCCAGGCCTACCATGGCCTCGTGCAGCCAGGTGGCATCTCGCTTTGCAGCTGGCATGTAAAGAGCCCAGAGCCCATGGCCAGTCCATCCCTTCACCTTCTTCTTTATCTCATCGGGTGCAAAGGTACCGTAAACCTTCTGGTGAACATCGACGATGGAATAACGCTGGTGCGCTGAGCGTGACGTGCCGAGATTGATCAACATCGAAACACCCTTTTGGTACTCGTCCTTCAGTGCTGCCAACAAGAAGACATGACATTGACAATGTCAGCGAAGTCGCAGTTCAAAAGCCGTCTCCACTGGAACTTCATCAGACAGTGCTAGCAGATAGGGTGGGAAGACTACTACATGATGCAGTAGCCCTACTAAAAATGTTAGACAATTCACAAGTAAAAATTAAATCCGACGTAACTCGCCACGAACGGGACGGCAATGAAATGAAATGGAATGGATTAGTACTCAGAAACAATGAAATTGTTAAAAAAAAAACACGAAGAGACGATACGCAGTGCAAGAGTCGAACCACGACAGTTACTTGGTGACGTGCAGCCAAAAGAGTACATGCAGGCAAAAGAGTACATGCAGCCAAGATCAGCTTGATTACAAGCTCCACGGCTTGTAGGTTCAAAAAGGGAATTCTATAAGGAGTCTGACTTGGGAGAAGGAAGGGGAATCTCTGTTGTTTTGTACGCTTAACCCTTTTTTGCTGATAATGATAAAAAAACGAGCTGCAGAGTTTTTTTTTTACAGTTTAAAGTTTAAACTATAATTGCCATTTAAAGAGTTGAAACCTGAAATTCAAAGCGAAGGATTTGATCAAGATGGTGATGACCCCTCCTTCCCCTTCGCTACCGTTGCTGCGGTCGCCGAAAGCTTTTTTTTTTGTGTTCATTCCTGCAACACTGTTTATAGTATTTTCAACAAGCTGCTAAGCCATGACACTAGTAGGAATGACACCAAAAATGTGTTGCTTCAACAAGGCTTAGCATCATTGTTTGTTCTTTTTAGTGTTTTGGGGCATTTTCAATGCAGCACTGAAGAGAGAGCAAGGATGAGAGAAATAATATGTGTTGCTGATACGGTGCCTATCACGTGTCCATTCATGTTGTTTGGAGTTACAGTCTGCTCACTGCATGCGATAATTCAGTTCCGAATCATCGTTTGCAGACCATACCTCTTTAGTTAACCGGTCGTGATCAAATGAGTTTAAGAGGTCATCTTATTCTCATATACCCCTCTTGTTCCTTTGGGGAGGCAGCCATTGATGCCAGTACTATACGTCTAACATAAAATGTTACACAATCACACATGACAACCCAGTGTCGAGGCGAACATGAGAGTCATGATGAGACCTTTTGACTCTTCGCCCCCGCAGCACGACCCCCACGTCTTCCTGCACTTCGGAATCCCCCTTCTTCTGACCCTTTTGAATTCCAAAATGAATGGGAACTCCCTCCTACTCCTCCCTTTCGACGAGCTACACCTACTCTGGAGCTACCAGATCTACCGGCCAAGAAGAAGAGTCCCCCCAACACAACGCACCCTCATTTTCGCAGTATCTGGCCGGAAATATAGCTTGTATACATTCACTTTTAGGGTGCGTTATGTTCGGGGGACGACGGTACCCCTGTGCACGCTGTGCCAACTGAGCTCCTAAGGCAGGTTCTGGGCCCGCACGGGCAATACTGGATCCGATTGCTGAGTCTACCCTCTTCTGCACTGAACCCCAGGCAAATGCTAGAGTAACTCTTGGGGGAACAGTACGGGGGTCAAACTATTTATTTTAGCGAGCGCTCAGCGGAGTCAGCGCAGCCCCGAATGCGTTGCAGCTGGACCACAAGCGGCCAGCTTGTCAACGTTCTGTGGCCGTCTCATCGACCCCCAAAAAAACGCTTTTTTGGGGTCCAACGGTCCTCCAACCCCTATTCCCTTCGGAAACATGCCCAGTCTGTGGAGCACAAGCCTACAGTTCCGAGTCTTCTGAGTCGTGACCACGTGTGTCTTTAAACCCTGGTTCAAAATTACACGAAACCTGTAACCCACCTAAAACATAAGGAAGAAAAGCAGCACCGTTCTACGAGTTGGGATGCGTGGCAAAGTGGCTAGTAGGTAGTAGTCACACACTCAGATGCTAGAGGCTAGTAGGTAGTCACACACTGAGATGCTAGAGGCTAGTAGGTCGTCACAAACGCAGATGCTAGTCGCTAGTAGGTAGTAGTCACACACTCAGATGCTAGTGGCGAGTAGGTAGTCACACACTCAGATGCTAGTGGAACGTAGGTAGTCACACAGTCAGATGCTAGAGGCTAGTAGGTAGTAGTCACACACTCAGATGCTAGAGGCTAGTAGGTAGTCACACACGCAGATGCTAGAGGCTAGTAGGTAGTGACACACTCAGATGCTAGTGGCTAGTAGGTAGTCACACACTCGGATGCTAGTGGCTAGTAGGTGGTCACACACTCAAATGCTAGCCTCTCTACATCTTATCCTGGTGCTCGTGGAACCGTGGACGTCGCCACAAGAATCACGGACCGCAACCAACCCGCAGCTCACAAGCCACCATGCAGGCTTTAACAATTGCAAGACTCGTTTTTTCGAACTTGCCCCTGCACGCCCTTCACAAGATCTGACATTAACATGGACAAATTGTTATGTTTGCACGTAACGAGTCAACGACCACAAGAGGAAAAACCTCTCTCTGGGGCACCTTGGCTTGATGTGACCACAGCCACTTTTTTTTTTACTTTTTTTTTGCTTCAATTTTTTGCTTTTTTTTGCACCATCGCATTTCGGGGGGCTCCTCCCTCTGTTCAAAGGAGCAGTGGAGCACCCCCGGGGCGGGTCTAAGTCCCACTAACGGGGGTTTAAACTTGTCTACCTTGGTTCTGAGCACGCACAGGTCCCTGCCATCCAATCTGAACATCTCACGGCCACACTATGGACACGTTGATAAATATGATAAATACTCCCAAGGGAAGAATAACCCCCTACCTTCTTCCCCCGAATACAACGTACGGTCATTATAGCTGCATTTGAGGCATCTTTCAGTCTAGATACAGCTATAATGACCGCACGTTGTATTGGGAGAAACAAGGTAGCAGGTGCTACTTTTGGGACTTAGCCCCCGAAATTCACAAGAGTGCAGGTCGGGGAAAATCTGACCTGCAAGAATTTCAAAAGGAGGATGATACTAACCAACCTAGCTCAGTGTTGGGACCACACCGGTCCCATGTACGGTTGAAATACAGACCCAAGTTCGAATCCAGACGCAATCAGATGAGCAAAATATAGCCATTCTGAATTACTTGGGGGCCGGGGCCAGTCAGTTTAATGATGATTTCTCAGGGCTGTTGAAAAAAAAGGAGAGAGAAAAGGGAACAACAAAAAAAAAACGAGGATGCTCTCACACACATGAATGACATTCCACGACGGCAAGTCCCTGGGGCCTGTTCCCATGATCAGGGCACTGAGGTGAAAGTCCCAAGTACAGTCTGCCTGCCGCAGCTCCCTGTTTCTTTTCCGTTACTCCCTTTCTGCCTACGGTTCACAGGGCACTGCCAGGGCACTGAGGCAGTGCCCTGTGACTACCTAGATATCTTCAAACAGAGCTGCCTACGGTAAACCGTAGGCAGAGAGGGAGGGGGAGAAGAGGACAACAAACGATGATGGGGTGTGAACCGACAGTCTGTACAGTTTTCCATCTGGTGTGGATGAGTTATAGTCTGCTTTGATTTTCGTCACAGGTACCTTGAGGGCAGTGGTTGGTGGTCCCCACCACCTCAGAGGGGTATCAGTTTTCGGGCAGTCGTTGATGCTTAACCACAACCGGGGTGACGGTGGATTATCACTTACATACAATGTAGGGGACTCTGCAGACTGTAGACAGTTCAGCCTCCTCATGAGTCAGTGGGTGAAACTCCGACCAAAAAAAAACAGTTTGTCACAGCCCCTCCCTCGTTTGCTGTCCTCTTCTCCCTCTTCTACCTCTCCGCCTACGGACCGCTACGGTTTACCAAATGTGAATCACACGACACCCCTTCCTCCGGAGAAGCTTAGAAATTATGCACTGCATCACCCGACTCTCCCCACACGGAAGAACCAGTCCCCCTCCTCCCTCCCCCACCCCCCCACCACACACAACGAAAAACAAAAAAAAACACGCTCCATCTATTCGTGGGACGCAAGTCGAGCTGGGAACCGGGCCGGTCGTCCGTTACGAAATTACATCAGATATTTGTGAGTGAAGGACCGGTCCTTCGGTACGTCAGTCGAATTTCGCACGTGGTTAATGGGCACCCCCACTTCTCAGCTCTTGGTCTAACTTCATGCCTCTTGAAATTGCACCTATAAAAAACAGAGAATGCACTGAGCACCTGAAAACAGGCCGACACGCCTCAACAGAGAGGAGGTAGGTTCTCCGATAGAGTAGGAGCTCGGATTTTCTTCATTGCTGGCATACTTGGTCGTTGATCTTCGTGACAACCTACGGTCAGGATGGGACTTGGTCACGGTTGTTCAGTACTTCGAAACTTGTGAAAGGTTATAAATCCACCCTTGTGAAAGATTATAAATCCACCCTTCCGCAAATCCTTTGTATTTGATTTCCCCCAAACGGGGCAAAGAGGAAGGGAGGGCCTAAAAACTTCATTCCTAAACGTCATGAAGGTGAATTTCCTTGATCCCAAAATACCTGACGTGAATTTACCTTTATATACCTGAAACCACCATCTGTACTTGCAAAAGTCGCGGCACTGCCACGTACTACCGGTCCTCAAATCGCAGTCGCACTGCCACGTACTACCGGTAGGTTGTTTTCACTTTCTTCAAAAAAACAGGCCCACCTCCGGCTCTGGCGGAAAGGACGATCCCCAAATTTACCAAAAAAAAACATTGGACCATTTTTTGGTTTATGCGTGTCAAATCTCCTCTGTATCGTTCCAATTTCAACGGATATCCCAAAGGACGATCCCCAAATTTACCAAAAAGTGCCTCGCCTATAAGAAGTGGGATCCAGGTCCTTAGTTTTTTTTCCTTTTTTTAAAAAAAGGCCCTTAGTTTCGGAGTCGTGCCACAGCCAGGGGCAAGGTCCCACTGGCACGGATTAAGACATTCTGGCCGTTGATCTTTGATATCTACGGTCAATATCGCTTAATTCGTGTAAGTGGGACCTAGCCCCAGGACAGGCAAAAAAGAGAAAAAAAGAAACAGCTCTTATAGGACAGCCAAAAAAAAAAAA